AGTTCGAAACTACCAGCTGTTCCGCGGGAGAAAGATGAGGCTTTCTGCTCCCGTAAAGATTTACAGCCTCGGAAACCCTGTACAGGGTTGCTATGCGTCAGAACCGACTGCACGGCACATAACAACAAACCATTGTCCACAATCCTTACAACCCCTTCTTTTAACCCAGATAAGCGTTTGAGTTGTTTATGAAGAACTGTGCATATAATAGAAACTCCTAGGAGCTGGAAGTGGTTAACGTGCTCAGCTGCTAACTCGGAGGTTAAAAGGTCGAGTCTACCCTGATGCTACTTGGAACAAAGGCCGCATGATCTCTACTTCCAAATTGTGAGCCACTGAAAATCCTTGGGCGCACAGTTCTACCCTGACATACACGAGGTCACCATTAGCCTGAATTAATGAGAACCAATTTTTGATGCTGCTGTTTTTACAAAAGCAACGCATGATCTCTGCAGGGGGTTGAGGTGATCAGGAAATGAGCAAAATCAACAAAAAGAAAAAAAAGAATACATTGAAATCTTCCTTCTTGTGATAATCAATTTTGGGGTATATGTTTCTATACTTTTTCTCATTTATTTAACCACTCTTTGATCATCTGCAGAATGCAAAACAAGACAGACAGTACCTCTGCCCTCATGGGTAACTTCTCTGCTCACCTGGGGAAAATCATCCACAAGTAAATAGTTTCTAATAGTGGAGAGTTGTGAAGAAATAAAACAACAGGATGTGACAATACCTGAGATGGTAAGGAAGGGACTCTGAGTGGATAGTATCTGAGGTGAGATCAGATCAAGGCAGACTAGTCAAGTTCCGGAGAAAGACCCTTCAGGCAGATTACATAAAATAGTTTAAAGAAACCACGGGATAAACGGAGGTAAAGGGCAGGGCCAGATGACCTTGCGGCTGCAAGCCAAGAAAAAGTATCATTTACATCTGACAGCAACTGGAAGGCTTGAAGCAGGGGCTCCACAAAATCTAATTTGTGTTTGTTTAAAAAAAAAACTCCCTTTGGGAGGAGTCCAAGAGTTAAAGGAAACAGGTAAATACTTGCAAGGAATGGGTCCAAGAAGAGAATTGCAATCACTGCAATGAAGCAAAGTATACGATTTGCTGAAAGTAAAACATGATCTGGTCTGTAAACTTTCACTTAATTCACAATAAAAAATTAAAAAAAAAAAAAAAAAAAGAGTTTCCTTTGGATCTTACATGGTGATGGACACAAGGTCACCGAGAAGCTTTTGTTTTAAGTGCGCTCAAATGAAGACAGACAGGACTTCAAAAAAATATTAGACATGTGGACATACCATACACTCACGATATCTCAATAGCATGGAATGATACCCTTGTTAATGTTTCCTTAATACCCACTTTGAGTACTGGTGTGGGACTGGAGGATAAGCAATGCACTGCTAACCACAAACTTGGAAGTTCAAATCCACTAGCCACTCCTCAGAAACCCATACAGGGTCAATGAGTCAGAACCAACTCAGCAGTACTTAACAATAGCCCATTACATAGATGAACTACATTGTTGAATATTAACTTCAGTAACAACTGGGGTCTCCCAGGGACCAGGAATCCTGGATGGCACAAACAATTAACATGCTCAGCTGCTAAGCAAAAGGTTGGGAGTCCAAGTTTACCCAGAGGGACCACTGAGGAAACACCTGGAGGTCACCTGAAAATTCAGCCATTGGAAACCTATGGGCATAATTCTACTTTGGAACTCAATGGCAACTGGGAAGAATGAACCCAAGGTCGGGCCCTGATCAAAGGGCTAGGTTGTT